GAACTTTTTTATCCAACACACAACTGATGTGTGGGACTCCCTGTCAGAGTGCTGGGGGGTGCCAGAAACGTGCCTGTGTACCAAAAGCAATCATCACATTCATTAGCAGAAGAAAAAAAACACACTCGGGGCTCCAAAATATGAAGACACCATTTCAACTTGGGAATTCCTACAGTCACAGATCACTGGAAGCTGGGAAAGTGGTTTTATTTTTCACTGTTTTATACTCCCCCTGCTCCAAAACCCTTAGTAGATACATGCTGTTGGCCACTAGAGGAAACAGGATGGTAAGCCCAACAGTTCTTTCTTACAACGCTCTTGGTGGCTTGGTTTTCAACTTTTATATAACATAGCTTCTAACTTCAAAATTGCATTTCCTCCCTTTATCTTCAAAAGGCATCAATGCATGAAGCACTGTGCACTTCCTTCCCTGTGCACTTCCAACTCTCACAGTGAGCAAAAGGGCCTGAGCAGAGACAGGTGCCCTTTTATTCACTGTGAATGCTGGAAGTCCACAGGGAAAACACGAAGGACCGGGAAACAAGGTTAAAGACACACAAAAAGAGAAAATGCATGGAAACAGCCAACAGGAAATTTTGAAGAATCAGTGGAAATGTAAAGGAATCAAAAACTAAAATGGGGGGCATCAAGGGAGTAGGAAAGGCCATGAGGGCAAAACGCAGGACGATATGGAAAATACATGGAGGATGGAAGGGCACGCAACAGAGGGAGAATTGTTAGCACTTAAAAAAATAGTGTTATTTCATGGAAAAGATAAACATTATCTGTAATGAGTGAGTATGGTGCTATTGAGAACTTGAAATGACATGTAAATAAGAGAGGAAAAATGTCCTCAAAAAGAAACATAAATCCCACTGAAGGATGGATACTCTTCTCCAGCATATTATTGAACTGAAGATAATAATAATGAATTTGGGGAATACAGTAAATCCTTTTTTGCGTGCATTTTATCACCAATAATATGAGTACTGTCATATATACTATCTGAATTACAGCAAAATATATGCACCACTATACTTAACACTTAAACCACTTTTCCAGGTTTGCTAACTGCTTTGAAATCTATACGCAAGTCAGTTTATGTATCCTACCTATGTCCCAAGATGGTAAATGATCCACAATTAGAGTCAAGGTGTAAACTTCTACTCCATCACTTTAGTTGTGTTGTCCTGCCAGTGCTAAATGCAATGCTATTTATTACCTGGTTTCCGAAAGCTTTCAAGTGCAAAAAAATACAGCTTCTGGAAGAAGTAAACTTTTGAGCCATGAGTCACAATTTTCTGACAGCAAATTAACAACTAACCCAGCATTACAACTGACCCAGTGCAGTCAAGTGCAAGTTACAGAAATGCTCAGCTATTAGGGAATAAAGAGTTTGATCTTGTAACTTCTACAGCAGAATTTATAGCCATGTCATGGCGCTGATGCCACCCCTACTGTCATAGCTTTATCATACATCTGCCAACACTGGTTATTCATAAAACTCACAATTTCTTTTACAAGTAACTTTTTCACCTGCAGAGTTACAGCTGACAGCTTAAAAATCTTCACCTATGATACCCAAGAACTGTGAAGTCATTGAGGCTGGAAAAGACATTTCAGATCATGGAGTCTAACTGCTAACCTCACACTGCTAAGTCCACCACTAAACCACATCCCTCAGAACCACATCTACATGCCTTCTAAATACCACCAGGGATGCTGACAACAAAAGCAAATGACAGTGATCATGTGCAGACATACAGGCATGTGGGATGTTTTCATAACTTTGTCAACCCCCAAGTGGATTAAAAAGTTAACTTATTTCATACCTCGTGTCACTTGCTTTCTGTTCTCCTTAAAATTTAATGCAAAAGGGGGCTAAGCTCTTCAGCACAACTCACTGTTCCCGGTGTCAAATCTAAAAGAAGATGCTCGACACACAGGAAAATGGCAATTCACCGGTGAGGATAAACAAACCCCACGGTTTGGGTCGTATGCACCGCCCGCTAACCTCTGTTTAAAAGCCCGCAGAGCAGCAACACACTTCCCTCGCTTCAAGCGGCACCGACGCTCCCGTCCCGTCCCGTCCGCGGCGGTATAGCCGAGCCCGATGAGTTAGAGGTGGCTCGTCCTCCTGCCGCCTGCATCCGGCCCCGACCCCCGCTCACCGGGAACGGAGCCCAGCCCAGTCCGAGAGGCTCCGTGCCCTCGGCAGGGTCAACCCAGCGCCTCGCTCCAGGAAATCCTCCTCCATTCCTGGAAATCCAGCCGCCTTTTCTCCTGACTCAGGGATAAAGCCCGGAAACGGCCCCGGCGAATCCAGCGGCCAAGCGGTGGGCGGGCGGGAGCCGGCATCGCGGGCCTCAACAGCAGGGCACCAAGCCGCCCCCTCCCTTCACGACCTCCCACCTCAGGTGATAATGGCTCCTTGGGAGCTGCCACCGCCCGCCCTTCGCTCCCCGCCGAGACTCGGGGCTGCCGCGAGGGAAACGAAAGTCCCGGACAGTGGGAGGGGAACGCGGACCCCAGAACGACGGGGACCAGGCGGATCGAAGGGAGCTCGGGCCCCAAAGTTCCGCTGCGGGCAGCGCGCTGTAGCCTCGCAGCTCCGGCGGAAAAGCCCACAGGCCGTCCGCTGCGGGAGCGGAGCCGCCGCCACTGACTGAGGAATCTCAGGGTCCGGACCCGTCCCGCCGTGACTTACCGTCCGCAGCGAGCTGCAGGGCAGCACAGGGCCGCGCATGGCTCCGCGGCCCACTACGTCCCCATGGCAGGATCCCGCGGAGCCCGGAGGAAGCCGCCCCAGCTCTGCCCGGCCCCGGCCGGAGCAGCACGGAGCGGAGCTGCGCTCCTCCAACTTTCTAGGGGCGGCAGGAGGAAAGCGGGAGGCGGCCCAGCCCCGCCTACCCACCGGCGCAAACCGACCGCTGGCGGCGGCGTTCCTTTAACCCTGGGATGAGCAAGCTAAAAAGAAACGACCGATGGTGTGTCCCGTGGCTAAACCTGCTGGAAAACACCTGGAAAAGGAGTCACCTCAGTAGAGGGTGTCCCTGCCCATGGCAGGATGAGCGTTTTCCAACCCAAACCCTTCTATGAGTCTATCTTAAAATTTCCTACAGTAATTCACCTTTACCTCCTACTGTTAATGTTGAGTTCATGTGAAACTTAACCATGTAGGGGTGAGATGGTAACACACTGCACCTCAACTGCCTTGTCAGCACCTAAATAATCCTCAAGAATGGTATTTATCAGCCCAAACTAGCATATTTAGAGTATATATGCCTATACTTTTTAATTTAAAACACACATTTGCTTGTATGCTGCGATTATCCAGCTGCATTGACAATGCAAATATAAAGTTAATGTAGCATTCTATGCGAGCTCTGCTTCATTTAATACATGCTTCTAATTATAGTGTTTAAAAACACAGTAAGGATTAGGTGGCAAACAGATAAAGCACTCCCTTTTATATGTTGCACATTAAGATCCCACCATGTTGTTTCAGAACTATTCCCAGTTGACATAACCAGCTGCCAGGTTAGTTACCTCATCCTGACTGCTTGTCTGCTAAGGGTGATAGGAATTGGTTGGTTGTTACCACAAGATGCAGGTATCATGAATGGGAGGGATCCCGAATGGAAACAGCCACAGCACCTACTTCCCAGTGATCGGGTTGTGACAGGGAATGCTCCCCCATTTCCTGCCCTATCTCTGTCATACAAAGCCATTAAATTGAGGTGCTAAGCACTGTTTGGGAAGAATATACCCATTTCATGTATGTAAGCCCAAAATCTGCATACAATTCACTCCGTTCACTGCCTGAACTGCTGTGAAGAAAGCCAAACAGCTCCATGGGCTATGTCTACTATGCAGTTGCTTATCTCAGTGTGGAAGCCAGCAATGGGACATGCAGAGGAGAAAAGGACAAGGGCCACACAGCTACATAGCTCTCCTCCACACTTCAGGCTTGAGCAGCTCTGATTTTGCAGTTGCAAGTGGGAAGAAAATAGAACAATACATTATAAGTCTGCAGCCATCTCCGGGGATAGAAATAGAAACAATTTACTGAGTTTTGTCTAGTTCTTTTCCTTGCCTTACATTGGGAAAATACAAAAAAAAAATGGAAGGGGGTTTGAGCCCCCCTCCTATGGGGACAGCCTGAGAAGGCTCCAGGGAAACCTTCGAGCAGCTCCCAGCGCCTAAAGGGGCTACAAGAAACCTGGAGAGGGGCTTTGGATAAAAGCCTGTAGGCACAGAACAAGGGGAATGACTTTAACCTGCCAGAGGGGAGGCTGAGATGAGCTCTTAGGCAGAAGCTCTTCCCTGTGAGGGTGCTGAGGCGCTGGCACAGGGTGCCCAGAGAAGCTGTGGCTGCCCCATCCCTGGCAGTGTTCAAGGCCAGGTTGGACACAGGGGCTTGGAGTAACCTGGTCTAGTGGAAGGTGTCCCTGCCTGTGGCAGGGAGTTGGAACTGGGTGAACTTTAAGGTTCCTTCAACCCAAACCAGTCTGGGATTCTAGGAAAATTATCGCCTAAGGGAAAAATCCTCAACCACCAGTAAGTATATTTTGTGGAGAAGGAAATCACATTTTTAATGGGCTGTTTCAGATTTATCCCATGCTGTCATGAGTGGCGCAGGCACACCCTTCAGTGGAGCTTCAGCCTTCCACAACAAGAAAAAGCATTTCTCCAGAACAACAGAAGTGTCGGAGGAACCCCTCTTCCTGCACTCCGCACGGGAAAGCGATCTCACAGCCCGCTGCAGGCTTGACATTTACACTAATATCAAACGCCTCAGCGCACTTCCCATCTCTCCCCAGAACTGGTTAGGCCACGCCGCCCCTCCCCGCTGTCTCCCCGTGTTCCAGCCTGCGGAGCCCTCACGGGTTCCGTTTCTCGGCAGTGCGAGGGGTAAGAACCGTTTCTCAGTGAGCCGAAACGCTCCCGCCGCCGCCATCGCAACACTTTACCTCAGGAGCTACGAGCGCCTCCGGCGGCGGCCATTGGCCTGAGCGGAGGGAGGGGGCGGAGACGCGCCCTGCGCGTTTCCCGCCGCCGCGTAGCCATGGTAGCGCCGTGACTCGCACGTTCGGCCCGGGTGCCGTCATGGCGGAGCCCAGCGCGGCGGTGAGTGAGTGACCCAGCGCGGCTCCGCGCCTCTCCCCGCCCCATGGTGCTGAAGGCCCGTGTCTCTGCTTCTCCCTAGGAGCAGCGCTGGCTGCAGGCGGCTCAGGACTTCAGCCGCCGAGCGCTCCCGGCCCAAGAGGGGCCTGGCGCACCGGAGGGGCCGCCGCTGCTGGACGCGGTGCTGCGGTGCCTGCGCAGCGCAGTTGGCGGGGACCTGCCGCTCGGCTACAGGTGACAGCGGGGTGGAGAGGGGAGGAGAGAAGAGGAAGGGTGGAGAGGGGCGAATGGGCATGGTCGGACCGCCCTTCACGCCCGCGGCATGGTCCGGAGGAGGAAGTTACACAAGCAAACTCGTGAAGGCCCCGCGGGCGAACGGGGCTGGTGGGGTCCTCCCGGGAGCTGGGAGCTCGGCACGGCGGCTGCCGCTGGACCAGTGCCGCTCGCTCATATGCGGTGTCTGCCCCGGATGCTGGGTGTGGGAGGGTTGTTTTCGAAGGCAGATAACCGCGTGCGTGTTCTTGGCTTCGGTGCGCCCTCGGTCACTCTTGCGGTATTGAGTACGCACCGTGTCTGCGGTAGGGAGAGTGTGTGACCGAAGTGGGGCACCTCGCTGATCCTGCTGGATCCTGCTAGTCTGCTGAGGAGGCTGTGCCTGGCCATGGTCTCCAGGGCTGCTGGCCAGCTGAGGTCTACATTCAAGTGGGTGGTCTCCCAAAGGGGGGAATCTAGGATAGCATGATCCACGTTTTAGCTGGTAAAAGGCTTTTAGGTGTTTACTGTCATGAAAAACACACAGTTTGCTGAGAGATCCAGATTGGAAGATGTGGCTCGTCTGGATCTATTTCTCTCTTGCTCCAATTTATGGTCAAAGAATAAACCCCTGGCACAGCTGGTTTGGGGAAGGTCAATTGGAATTGATTAGGGTCTTATGACCTTTAATTTCGTACTAATAGTTTATAAATGTAGATGATGCATGTTTCAGACCAGCTAAACTGATTTCATCGAAGCCATATTTTTTCTATAGACTGTATTTCACAATGTTTAAAACAGAGTTTGGTTTATGTACAGGAGAATTCATCAAGAAGAGCTGATACTTCTCTTGCATGAGGCCAGTGGTCTGTTTGTGAGCAGCGTTCTCCATCCACAGTTAACTGTCAAGCTCTGGATTACCAGAAGAGCCCATTTAGGTTTCTGGATGTGATAACCAGGATCCAGTGCACTCCTGTAGTTTTGGTTTCTCTCAAAAAGCAGACAGCACATGTGATGTCAACACAACCAGTGCTGCGTTCTCCTTGTAGATCATAGATACCAGTATTATTACTGGTGCTGTTCTGACTCTGAGTACAAAGCAATTTGCTTATGTTATTTTCAGCTAATCTTGAGCAAGTGTTCAAAATCTGTCTAGACGGGCCCTCAGTGATATGGCTTAGTGGTGGCCTTGGCAGTACTGGGGAATGGTTGGACTTGATGATCTTAAAGCGTCCAACCTATTTGATTCTATGATATATTGCTGGTCCAGACCCATTGCTCATCTGGACTGGTTTCTGGCTTTGAACCTTTGATACCTGACTAATCAACTGAAACTCATCAAATTCATATTCTCTCAATTTGATTATGTCCTGCTACTGAGCAAGTGGGTGTTGAAACAGAGTTCCAGTTTCACAACCTAAAATTGTCGGCAAACCTCACTGGAAACAAGTATCAAAATCACTAGCTGGAGGCCAGTTTGTATTCAGTCTTTCAGTATTTATGTTGTTGTGAAGAGGGGACTTCTGCTAATGTATTTATGCTATCATGGAGAGAGGACTTCTGTTAATTCTCTAGAATGCAGAGCCAGGAAGTAAACAATGATGATGAATGCTACCAGGATCATACACTGGAAAGGCTTAGCATGTACTGAGAATGCTGCCTTGCTCTCCCATATTTGGTACTGTGGCCAGTCTAAGCTTGATAATGCTAAACTGTGGATGGCCTCACATGCCAATTTGATGTTACATCTCCTCGCCTCACTCTCCAAAGCCAGGAGCGTAGGTGGGAAGTTTCAGGGCTAGCTTGGCTCTGATGTTATAAGTGAAGTCCCAGTCTAAGATTACTGGCTTATTGTCTCTCAGTTTTGTACTGTGTAAGCTATTCACAGGAGAGAATTTGTCACAAAACTGTCATAATCTTCATCTAGAAGTTTTCAACCCTGCTTTTACCACAGTTCATCAACTTGAGCCCACAGTGATGGAATTAGTCTGTATTTACCTGTGCTCGTAACTGGTATGTAAACTGTTCGAACAGTTGTTGGGGTTTTCTCACAGTCTCCCATTCAAGCTAAACATGCCTGAATTAATAACTGTTCTCCTTCCCACTTCCCCCCACACACACATGTACTAGGAAATATGTTCTGTTTTCTTACCCTTCAATTATTTTTTCCCCAAGCCTTCTGCATGCCTGCTCAGGTAACCATAGTAGCAGAGGATGTCTGTTTTCAGAGAGGATGCTCAAGCAGCACACACATGTTGACTGAGCTGAGAGAGATCATTGATAAATGCCAGTGAATGAGTTGGTTCTTGCCGTGTGGTATCATCAGACCATACCAATAGCTAAGGCTTTTTTGACTTAGCCAGGCTTTGTGCACTGGAATGATCACTGTAATCCCTGAACTTTGTAGACTTGAGTTTTTCCTACATCCTTCTATAGTCTTGCTTCTCTTTTTTTTTTCCAGTTTCATCTCCATCTCTGACCTGCAGCATCAGCAGTGTGTGCCATGCTGCAGCCACCTGACCTGGAGCACTAATGAGTTTAAAGAATGGGCTCGTCAAGGACAAGCTGCTATACCCACACAGAGCACTTTGCCAAGGGCTTACCTCATTTTGGTTGGCTATTTAACAGATGGAAGGCAAGAGAGCAAAGAAAAGTTGGTAGATGGTTGTCTATATGTGAAAGACAATACTGGGATAATCCCATGTGAGGTATGTTCTCAGTATGAGGAATCTGGCTTTTATTCTCACTGATGGGGCAGTATCACAGACCACCAGGGGCTTCAAACGGTCTGCCAAAGTTTAGTGAGGGAAATAACACGCTTGTATAACCGCCAGGAAAACAGGTCCTGGGGAGAGGATAGGACATGTCAAATTTGTCATTGCTAGGAGGGCAAATATTGGATGCACTGGCCTGGAGAAAAGAGGCAGTCTAATGTATGATTCTGTTAAATTCTCAACAGTACAAGGTGGCCTGGGGGACCTGGAAGTCATAGCACTCTCCTCTGTTTGATCTAACTAGTGGAGCAGAAGTAACTTTCTGTAGAGTCATACTGGGTGCTCAGTGATGCAATGGTGACATACTGCCACAAAATAAGAAGTTTGCTTGATAATTGAATTAAAAGCCTTCTGAAAGTCATTGCATGGGGAGTCTAGACAAGAGGTAACCCTTAGAAGCGGTGACGAAAGAGCACTGAGGTTGTGCTTTCCAAGGAGATGAAGAAAAAAAGCTATATTGGTATGAACTTCTAACTGAAAACAAAGGGGAAAAGAAAGCAGATGGGAATTCTAGAATAGTCTGAAAATAGCTAAGCCTTGCAGTGAATTAACGATCACCTAGCCAGGAGGATGCAGCTATAACCCAGGAAATGCTAGCTGCAGAGCGCAGCAAATTTGTTCCAGATTTCCATCTGGAAGGACAGAAGTTCTCCATGCAAGATAAGTGTGTCAGCAGAAAACACCACTCTCATATAGAAATGAAGCCCTGCAGTAGAACAAGAGTTTGTGATGTGCATTGCAAGTGCAAATTAGTAATGCACATTGTAAGTAATGCTGAGAAAACATACTCTTAATTCATCTCAAGCATTTATCTTGTTATCTTTTGTCTTAGGTCCTGCATTTTGAACTTGAGTGGCTGGAGTCACTGTTTGTCTTCCCAAGCTGGTCATACATACCACAGACAGACAAGAGTGCAGCAGGGTATTTGGAAATCCTATTGGACCCGGTGCCAGTAAATCTTCTCAAGAAGGTACCTGACAGCATTCCAGTCACCTACCAAGTATCAGCCAAGACACTGCTTACCTCCAGGTAAATACTTAGCATGCTCAACTCCATCATAGCGCTGTTGCTCTGGTTTGGCAGGTACCATGAGGAGCACTGGCCTTAGGAAGAGCTGGATTCTGTTTCTGCCGCAGGTGGAAGCGTAACAGTGAGTGGTGGAAGTAAAAGTAATACAATTAAGCTGCTTTTCATTAATCAGTTGCTTCCCAGGAACATTTATTGGAAGTTTTAATTCTGTATTTTGACAAACTAAAGCAAATTTAAGTATTTCCAGGTGTATTTTGATATTACAGAAAGGACATGAGAACAAAGGGATGATTCAGCTTTCACTGAGGCTGAAATTCATTCTTTTGATTAGCACAACTTTTTCTTTGACCATGAACCAAAAGTATTATAAGTATTATTGAAAGTAATTCTAGATTCTAATGGGGAATTAATATACACCACTGGTCAAATTCTTGTCAGATTGCTGAGATAAAGGTGCCAGTTAAATGTCAGCTGCTAAGATTAACTTGTCTTTAGTGGAAATAATATAGTATGTGAAAATATAGCCAATGGAATTGCAAATCTTACTGAAGTTGATAATTTCAGGTTGTGGTAGATCATATTTTATCTTCTTGAGTAGAGAATTCTTGGTGTAATAACAATAAAATGTCACTAGTCAGGCTGCTGTAGTTTCTTTTTTGGCTATATCTGCTTTACTTTAAGGTGAAGTGTTTCATGTAGCTCACCAGACCTTTCTAAACAAGAAATCTTTCCCTATTTCAGTGTACATTCTCAGAGCAGCTTCTCTGCTGCTGTTACCTGATAGTTGAACAATTTTCCATGTTCTTTCTTAAGAAATGTTACCAATGAAGTGCTGGTGTTAGTGTGTGTGGACTTCCCTTTTAAGAAGTCATAAAGGTAGATCAGTGTGTGGTTTAGAATCAAGGGTGTGTTTGTTCACAGAGGGCTATATTCAAGTCCAGTTGGAGTTGAAAATGCCAAATGTTTGAATTTTTGGTTTTCAGTTTTTGAAATGAAGGTTTGGCTGCAGAAATGTCGCCTCTCTCTCCTCTCTCATCTCATCTACTTTCGGTTTTGCTGCTCTTTCAGTCTGTGCCAAGATTGTTAGGAAGACTCCATTAATGCTCTCAAGCCTCTTTTGTTTTAGGTGTAGATCTTCCACGGTGTCACATTCCATGGAGCTACAAAGCCAAGTTCTCTTTTCTGCTGAAGCTTGTGACTTCCCCCGCCTCCTTCCCTTTTGATCTCTAATTAATCTCTTATTTGTGGTAAAGCTTTTTAAAACCTGGTTGTTGTCATGGATCATGTGCTGTATTCAAACGTGAGGGGTTTGTAAAGTGTCAGATGGTTTTAGCATATAAAACTAAAGAATTTTGAAGCCAGATATTGTTCTGAAAACCTCTCTGAGAGGTGATCCACGTTGGATCCTTTATTTCCAGAAAGTGCATGCTGCAGATTTGTTTATTTTGCTTTTGAGACACTTCTGAGTTCTTCTTTCATCTCTGATTTCCTTTGCCTCTTCAATTGTCCTCCAGGAGTCCGTGTGAGAAAAGAGCAAAGCTCCCTGTGGCAGGTGAATTGACCCAACGCGGGCCTCTCCTTTGTATTCACCGGAAGACATTCTTCTTTCTGTTTCTGAAGTGCTGTGTCTCAGGTGTTCGGGTCCCTGTGCTGGTGCAGGCAAGTGCTTGGAATTTTGCTCACATACTCACTGTCTGTATCTGTGTATGTGCTACTTGATTAATTCTTTGAAGCTTGCCCTTGACTTCCTGGTTTGATTTAGTCTTCCTTTTACTAGTTAGTTAGTTAGTTATTTTATTCCATGCAGCCTACAATAGCTCTTGTGTGTAAGAAGTCTAATACTCTAGTTTTATACCCTGAAGAAATATAGCCCTCCTTCCTTATGCAGTTGCAGTGTTCCTAAACATCTTGCAGATATCACCCTTTTGCTAGGTGTGTGAGGCAGTCCTCTTGAAGGAAAAGGTTTTTTGGAGTGGGGTTATCGGGGTCAGGAAGAAGTTTTTCCAGTGCAGAAGATGCTGATGTTGCTTTTGATTTCTCTGCTCTAGAAGCCCAGCCAGCTGGCATGGCATCATACCCTCCAGTTGGGTCGCAGGTATGCAATCACAGGCCTGAGCCTGACCAGCCTGAAGAAATCTGGACAAAGGACATTTGTTACCAGTGATTCTTCCCACCTTCTGCCCTACTGTGCAGAGCAAGTGAGGGAGCAGTCACTGGACAGTGCTTGGCAAGACGAATCCACTCAGTCTTCTTCCCTGGAGACTGCTGAGCAGCTCAGTAGTATCTTGGAGCTGAGAGTTGAAGAGGAGAGGCCAAGATCAACCAAAGAGTCCAAGATCATCTCATATGTGGTAAGGATTTGTAGGGTTACCCTTCACCCACTCATGCTGTAGGGTTTCAGCTCCTGGCCTGCAAGATCTTATTTTTCATCATGAATTTATTTCCTTATTGCTCAGGCCTATGAGACTCTTGTGTTCTGGGGCTCTCTACACTCATATAACTTTCTGTTTGCTTTCTGTTTTAGGGATTTGTCACCAAAATACTCAATATCCAAGCTGGTCTCTTTTTACTGGATGACAAAGTCTGCTTGTGCCTTGCTTACCAGCAGTTGTTGAACTCTGCACGTGGACTCCGACCAGGAGCATATGTGGAGGTAACTTGTGACTTAGGAAGGCATAAAGCATTCAGTGTAAAAGACTTGGGCCCGGGACATAGCTCACGAGTGTGTGGGTTAACAGAATACTATGGAAACGTTGGAATTATTTCAGCAAGTCAAGTATCTGGAACAGAATTGGGGATCTTGCTGTCTAGGTTTGGGCATGAGTGTTGAAATGATGATTATCTGATTCCTCCCTAAGCAGTGCGAGGTTCCTCAGGCCCATTTGATTTATAGATAATCCAGTAGAGTGATAAAGGATTTGGGGTGGGGTGATAGTTCTGGGGAGTGGTGGCAGACCAGCTATCTCTTCTCTTAAGTTGTACATTTGTGTGTATCAGCTCATCGATGTCCACCTCCTGCAGAAGCCTCTGGTATCCTTCCCTTTCGTTGTACTTGGTGCTTGCCTGAGCAGCACTATTGTGCTGAAGGGTTTTTCAAGGCTCAGCACCCCCTACCAGCCACCAGCCTCTTCTGGAAATCTCTACTTAGAGCTGCTCTTCCGCTACAATCTTGGTATGCCACTGTACCTCTGGCTGGTGAGCCTCCTGGAGACATTCGAGGAGAGGTGAGGACAGTTCTGAAGTCAGCCTATGTATGAATGTGCTTCGTAAGCTACCTGGGTGTCTTCTAGACCAAAGGGTCACAAAATTACTGTGAGGGATGCTAATAGCACTAGTAATTACTTCTGGTTTACTGGCTTCAGTAAGCCATTCGTCTAGATTTCACACGGTATCCAGTTGCTTGTACCTTGCATTTGCTCTTACGAGAAAATCCTGTACTTTTTTCAAGTGCGTGTGCAGTGTGCCCACTGGTTGCAGGAAGTTGCAGCACTCCTGCTCCTGTTCTCCTGCCTAGGAAGTTTTGTCCTGACATATGGAAGCACTGTAGGGATGTCTGCCTGCCAACGTGGTTTGTTTGGCAAGTCAAGGTGGATGCAGGCTGGAGTTGGAAACTGCTGCTACAACCAGATAACAACAAATATAAAGGCTTTTTTGTTCTGGCTGCTCAGAGGAGCAGCTGCAGCTGCTCAGCAAACCACTTTGATATATTCTGAGTATGGCCAGTAGTGCAAGCATTTGTTTGAGAGCCTCTGTCTTAGCAGAGGTCTTCCAGACGGCTTCGTGCTCTCCCTGACAGCTGCACTGCATAACAGCTGTGGGCCAGTTTCTGGATTTATTTCTGGGTTTGTTCTGGAACCTTAACCGCAGCCTTGGACTTCAAAAAGGAACATTTATGTATTCAATCTCAGGCAGCCAAGTAGCAGTTTATGGAATGCTCAGTCTTCCCGTGCTTTACGGGCACCGTGGAATTTTTATGCTTTCCAATCAGACAGCTTCAGGTTTGCCCTGGGAATGATGCTAGCTGTAAGTTTCAGTTTTCATTAGCTTTTTCACTTTCTATAAATGTGACTGCTTTGCCCTGCTGCTGCTTGGAAGTTGTTGCAGTGAGTTAGTTGCTACCTCTCTTTGAGTTCACTTTCTGTCGTGTTTCGACCAGCAGTGTGATCACTTCCAGACATTCAGAAGCAGTGAGCTAAACTTGAGACAGGATCACAACGCAAGGACAATGCTGGAAGCAGAGCAGCCTGTGGTTGTTTCTGTCTTGTGATTTATTTATTTATTGCATCCTGTAAAAGAAAGCCAAGTGTACCTAACATGAGTAATCATACCAAGCTTAGGCAAAATACATGGAGGTCCATTTGTGGGGCTTAGAGGGAGACTATATTCAGGTGTTTTGGGGTGGGGTTTTTTTGTCCACTTGAGTTTTGAGGTTTTGCCAGTCCTTCCATTTCTGTACATTTCCCTCTTCCTTGTCTGACATCAGTCTGCATCACCCTTAAATGTTCCTTTTTTAGTCACTTCATGTTCTTTTTGTGCCATCCCTAGTTCTTGTCCTGCTGAGCACATTCACTCATAACAAGCAGAAAGAACACTTGAGTTACATGCAAAACTCAGTAAGAAGCTAGGACTGCTAATGCTTTTTGTTATCATTTTTTTCCAGGTTTTCTTGTTTCTTTGGCCGCTGTCACCCGTTGCTTCGCTCCATGCACCGAAACCCTGGAGCTGCTGAGAAGTTCCTTGTCCCCCTTCTACAAGCTGTGGTCCCAGATAGACAGGAAGCAAGAGATATTTACAGTGAAATCCTAGATAGAAAACACCAGTGTCCCCTGCAGAAGGTGAATAAATGGTCTGTGAGCTGCTTCCTGTTTGTCTGATGGGAAGAAACTCAGCTGGTTCATTTGTTCTTTCTTGTTTTCTTAGTATTCAACCTTGAACCCCCCATGCCAGGCCCCATCTCTGTCTGCAGTTTGCCATGTGGCAGAAGAGAAGAGCTGGGAAGGCTTCAGTCCATCACAGTTGCTCTCCCCCTTGGAGGAACAGCACATGGGCACCCAGGAGCTGAACCGCAGACTGGCCTGGTCCTACTGCACATTCTCAGCAGGAAGTTTCCAGCCCCAACTGGTAAGTGCCTTGTTCCCTTTACTGTCTGTGCCTTGAGATTTCCCAGATCTCCCCATGCCTTCCAGCACCCTGTTTGATGCATGCCTCTTCTTCCTGTTCGGCAGTGACACTGTTTTTCTCACTTGTGTGTTGGACACAGGCCAAATTCAGGCTGCTGCTATATGCAGTTTGATTTATAACCTTCCAAGATGGGAAGTGTTTGATGCTCCTTGCAGCTTCTTTTCTGTTGCAGATACTGCTGGGTGTGCTGAGAGTCTCCTCCAGGAGCAGTTCCCTCCAGCTGCAGGACAAGAGCAGCACGCTGCCCTGTGTGATATGCAATAGGGATGGTAGCCCCTTTGCTTATACAGCTGCCATAGGTATGTCCCACTAAGTTAAATTTGAGAGTGCTGAGTTTCTGGTGTTCTGCCATCCAGCTCCAAAACAAGGAAGAAGAGACTTAGTATGGAGATGCAGAACTGGCACTGCCTGGCCTTGAGACTGTAAAATGAGGAAATCAACCTTACTAGTTTTATGTTTCCTTTTTATTAGCTCCTCTCTGTGTTTGCAGGATCACTCTTGCAGGTGGAGACCTATCAGCTCATAGTGGAGAGATTCCTTCAGACTGATTTTCCCTCCTGGGAGCACCTGCCAAATCTGGCGCATATAAGGGAGAAAAAACATAGGTGAGTCCCTTTATTTGGTGCACAAGTAAAATCATCCCTCTTCAGTTACACAAGTATTTTGGACTATGGCAAAGCTGCTGATCAGCATAGTGTGTTGTGCCAAAGCAACTGTCCTTTGATACGTGCAGAAAGGGATCTGCACATAGGACCCTTTCGTGCTGACTACTCGTGGGATACTCACCAGAAGTGCTTTTCCCAGATAACTGCTTGTTTTGGACAACCACCTATCAGGATCAGGGAGTTTCACTGCTACAATTTGTCATTTCAGTGTCTACGTGCAGTTCTACTATGAGGATGTTCAGGTTCTCCGTGCTGCGGAAGGACAAATCCAGAAAAGCCTTGGGAGAGGAAACAGCTCCTCTTTGAGGAAAACAGATGGTGGCAGCTTAACATCTGAGCTGGAAACCCCAGAGGCAAAAATGCTCAAATTGGAGGATCCCAAGCCAGATACTCGCAGAGATGAAAACTGTCAGGGGGGGCAGAGCAGCGCTAGGACAAAGAGCTGTGTATCTCACCTCTTCTTGGTTACCCAGAAAGAGGGTCTTATGTTTCGCAATTACCAGCTGCCCAGGAAAGACGATGGAGAAGGATGGGAGCTGCAGCGCAGTTTCCAAGCCACGGTGTTGTGGCTTGGCAGACCTCGGCTCTGGAGCCACCCCAGAGAAATTGGGAGTCTAGCAGAGCTGGAGGAGAGCGGCTGTGATGGAGAAGAGGACATGACACGGCAAGAAGTGAGGCAGGAGGCGGCTTTGGGGTGTGGTTTGATAAGGCTGGGAGTTGGCTCTTCAGGGAGCCCGTGTGATAAGGAAGTATCTAGATTCCTAATCAATGGGAAAGTGATTTCTGTGTTGGGTACAGATGCATGTTTATGCAGGCGACTTCCTTGTTCCATCCCAAGGGAGTTCCATCTCTTCTCTGTCACCTTCCTGTAAGTGCATTCCCCTTCCCTTACCCTCGACGGTGCTAACCTTACTTCTCAAGACGTCTTCTGCTGGGCTTGCTCTCTTCTCGCTGTCTTTTACATTTCCTACCTTATTCCTAACATTCGTCATCACCTTTTGCCTCTCTCCCTCCCCCTGCCAGGCACTACTGCTGTTTATGGGGAAGTCTCTACGATGGTTTCCATTTCTGCACCTGGATGGGCTGTATCGCTTCATTGTGCCCCACTGCTTGGTAAGAGAGAGATTGTCTCGCTGTTTCCTCTTGGAGACTTGCTGAACTGCACGTCAAGGTGTCAGAGGGTGACTAAGCTCTTTTTGAGGCTTGGAATTCCCATCCATCTTGCCAAGGAACTCCTTCAGTTCTGTGTTTGGTTAAAATTCTTGGAGCTCTGAGTTCAAAAGTTAGGTGTTTTTTTAACTTTAAACCATTGTTCTTCAGGTTTTTTTTCCTACATAGTTTTCATCCCTTTCTTTAACAGTCTTCTTTCTTGCCTTACCACTCTTCCTTCAGGACTTGGAAGTGTTTGACAAGCTTTGTTTTCCACCTGTGTCAGTCAAGTTCCTGAGCAGGTCATCCTGCCCCCTGTGCCTGCCTGTCCAAGATACCTGGCACTTACAGCATGTGACATGGATCTCCTGTCTGCCTGAGGTAAGTGCCTCATTGCTCTGGGCTTTCACGGGTGACTTGTAGATGTCTCTAGAACTAGCTCAGAAAACTATCTACAGAATGTCTTGTTGATGAGACTGTTCTGCTCTAAACTTCATCAGAGAAGGATGCTGGGCTTCACATTTTCCTGCCTCAGAATTAATCTGGGGAAAAAGCATCAGTAGCTTGACCTAGCTCTAAGCATGCAGAGCTTGCCTTTACTGCTCTGGCTGGGGACAGCTATAAACTGCAATCCACCTGAGGCTGTGTCTCCCTCACTTCTAGCTGGCAGCCAGGTCAGTGCGGACAGGCATGGACCAGAAAATTTCCTCCATTCCAGAAATACTTAGCAACAGGTATGTTGGTCTGCTCCAGATTACATGTGACTGTCTTAGGGAATGGGTCTGTATTCATCTTTACTGGAAACAGATTACATTAAGCAGCAATGAATTATCTGGCTTAGAAATATGGTTTGGAAGCCCTTCTGTGTGCAAGCAGTTCAGTCTGCCCCTGTTCTGTCTAGCAAAGCTAAAGGAAGTGCTGGTGACAAGACTGCAGGATGGTGTCCAGACAAAATTTGAGCTACTGCTGGTGTGGACTAGGTCACAAAAGGTGTCTGCTAAATTCCTGTCAGAAGCAGGAACAGACACATCAGGAAACTGAAGCTGAATGTGTGATGGCTTTTGTTGTTTTTTGGTTGTTGTAACATAATTTGCTCAAATACTAGGCTTAGAAGATCGTCTGTTCAAGAGCATGTTCAGATGTTTAATCTGGAGTGACAGGCATGCACACTGAAATCTTCCTCAGTGCCTTACGGCAAACTGAGTTTTGATTCGCTTGACTCCTTCCTCTAATTAAGGAAAACAATTAGGAGTTAAGCAGATAGGAAGGCTGTAATGCCTCTCCATTTTAATTCTTCACTGCTGAGCCTGAAGAAACAGAAAGCAAGTTAAAGGAGCCTCTTGACCCTGCGGTGGGGTAGGATGCAGTAAGCTACCTTTAGTCCAGTAACTCAGGTGCTCAAAGGCAGGTTCCCCTGAAACCAGGGTCAAGCAGCAGCACTCCACCCTGTCCTTTACAGCCATCTTGAAGGCAGGCCTTCATCCACTCTCTTTGTCTTCAGAAACCCTGGTCTGCTCTCAGTTTCACAGGTTCCCTTGCTTCCTTCTCTGGCAATATAGTGGAGAGGACCTTGTGTGCCTCTCCCAAGACCGAGAAGCCACCTGTGACTGTCAGCCTTCAAAAGCAGAAAGGTAAGATTTTGACAGCCTGTCAAGTAACAACAGATTGATTCTTGCTTTTCTCTGTTTCAGGGACAGTGCCAACTGTGCTCCTATATCTGACAACAGTGGAAGTATGCCAGGGTGTTGCACCCCATTGCATGTTAGAGGGTTGGGAAACTATGCTGCTTGTGTGTTGGGATGGGAATGAGAAAACTCTACCTGGAAAATCTGGGAGGTGGAACAGTGATAGCCTCGTTGTGATGGGAGGGAAAACACCTCTAGCAGATCCAGCTCCGTGACAGATTATGCTTACCTGCATGTGAGTGAGCTCATGGCGTGTGTGGTGCTGTGCCCTCTCAGGGAGTCTGCTAGCCGATGAGCACACCGTGAAGCTCAGCGTCTCAGTGGCACCAGGCTCCCCTGCTGTGTTGGATGTTTACATTGCTTCCACCTATCTGCAGCATCTCTGGGGTTTGCTACCTGGAGCCACGATCCTCTTCCAGAACTTGGAACGCAAAATCTCAAGGTACCTCTGTCTTTAGAGCCCTGATCTAGGCTGCTGAACTCTCTTACTGTCTTTGAAACCATTTCTTAATCTCACCTCTCATGGGAACTTGCTTTATTCTTTGTCCATACCTTCACGTATCCCAATCCCTTACTACAAATTATTTTCCTACCGTGTTACAGATGAAGATCAGCCCAGCCATCTCAAGCAAATTGAGAGGTTTGGCTTCTACAAGCTCTTTCTGACATCTGCTTTTTCATATTGCAGATTCTGTAATGTTTATTGCATCTACATTGCCTCCAGCTGTGTGAGCATCATATCTCTGCCAGCTTCTCCCCTACCTTTTCCTTCCAGGTGAGTTCAGCTTCTGTTCCCAACGTACAGTGTCCTAAGAAAGGTTTCTGTATTCCAAGCTTCTCACATTCCTGTTTCTTCTAGTCCTGCAGGAGAAAACTCTTCCCCCTCACTAGTGTTTCTATCCAGCCTGCAATGTCACCTGCAAAGCCTGTCCCAGGCACGGATTTTATGCCACTTGTCCTGTGTGCTGACGCTGTCCTTGCAGTGGGTTTGCTCACTTTGTAACAGCATCTTCAAAGAGGTATTCAAGCTTCTACAGGGATAATTTGTGAGGAGCTTTGCAGACTTTCTACTCTGACACATCCTTTGCTACCATGTAGGGAAAAAAAACAAGAGTTCCTGTCCCAATTCCAAACCCTCTTTTTCCAGTGTCTGAAAAGGTTTTGCATATTAAAAAGGGACCAGAGTGGCAACTGATTAGAAGTATGTATCTCATGCCAGGCAGGCTGGCAGCTGAAGTGAGGATACTGCAGGGGAGAATCCTGCTCTGTTAATGCTGTGCTTTTCCCATGTTCACTGCTGTTGGGGTTCAGCAGTTTGCAGCACGTGATTTTTGTCTCCATGCAAACCTTTCCTAAGACTCTCATTGGAAATACAGTAAAGTTTCTTAATCCTTTGCATATGTAATTAAGGGAGGGCTAAAAGAAGCAGTGGCCCTTCCCTTCTCTCTGTTATATCCCTCCCTATACATAGCTGTAGCTTTACTCTTCCTTCAGGGGAGGTGCACCCGACACAGTCCACCATGTCCATCACACACTGGAGTGAGGCAAGCCAGTGCACGGTAAGCACTGTAGAGCTTGGGTATGGGAAGAGGTGTGTAGGAGGGAACAAATTACACTACAGAGGGGAGAGGAAAATCAGATCAAGGATGAGATGTGGACAGAATAGCAAAGATGGACGGTAGAGTTGTCATGTCTTCCCAGACGTGACCAAAACTGCCACTCTCTTTACTGAGATCCATTGTCTGGGACATGACCCTTGTGAAGCCATTGTCCTGACCTCCTCCATATCTTGGTCTGCCTGCTCTCTCCTTAGGGTGGTGGTGGAGGATGGAACAGGCGATGCTTTGGTGCTGTGCCGGAACCAGCACGTGGCGGCAATGCTGGGCCTCAGCCTTCTCGAGTGGGAAGCGCTGCAGAACTGCGTGCAGAGCAGGGGCAGTGTGTCCATTCAGCATGGGGAAGCTACCGGCACAGGGGTGAGCGGGTTATTCCAGTAGCAATAGCAGTGTGCTGGGCTTGAGCCTCGGGTGAACTGGGTTTCCCTTTGCTGTAGATGTTCCAGAGGCTCCCTGCCTCCTTCTGCACATTAACTGGCAACACACCCTTTCCTTCCTCAGTGTGTAGAGGAACCTGAGGATCTCATTGCTTGCTACCTAAGGAGCCTGTGCAGGAGTCCTCTCATCTGTCGCCCTATTCTGCTGGATTTCAGCCTAGACAGGAAGCCCTCTAAGATCCTGCAGCCTGGTAAGCAAGCACTGTTGGCTTTAACCTGGGACGGAAGGGAAGAGGCATCTCATCAGGCTGGGGAAGGAGAGTTGCCACAAAACGAGGTCTGTGGAGGATTTCCATGGAATTGTGAACACTGTAGTGTAGAGCTAAGATGTGTCTTAGCAGAACCATGGTTACAAAAATACAGAAATAATATAAAAGTCACTATCTGCAACGGTATTATATATGATTTTTTTTTTTCTACTTTACACAGAAACATAGAGCTGGTTTAGAGCAAGGTTCCCTGTCCATGGATGGGAAGGGATTCTGGCCAGCCAGTTACTGTGCAGACCTCTCAAATCAAGCAGGTTTTAACTTTAGGCAGGACAGCACGTAGTGTCAAGAGTAGGCCTGGAAATCCTCACCATGGCCACAGAATTCAAAGTGCTGAGAAGTTTTGAATCCATAGATGCTGGTGTCTGAGCTCATGCTGCCGTAACTGTGCAGTTCCTGTGTTAAGGGACATTTGTCTTAGCCATTTGCTCTAGCACTAACATTTGAGTATGTGTCCCGGCACTGCAGGGGTTGATTTGCTGAGCTAACCAGAGAATGTTCTCCTGTGGAGACATTATCTTTTGGCTCTCATTTAACACAGTTTGTAAGGCCAGGTTGCTGATAGTGATAGAAGGTATGAAGCTCAATGCATCAGCTGTGTGAGCAGCACATAGTTCACAGCATTTCACAATGTAGTATATTTTCCTCCAAGCTGCAGGGGTGCTGGCCAAATGCCTTCATCTGCTTACATCCTGGATTCATTAATCATGCTGTCCTTGGAGGTTCAGCAGATGCCAAGCAGCTGCTGTAAGGCCTTCCTCCCCCAGCAGCTCCTACAGCTGTGTGCTGGAACAGAGCAGGAGCCCTGGGCTGAGTTGTTACAGGTTGTATCTTTCCCCTTCAGATCCACTGCAGCTCAGGAATTTTCGGTGCGATGAAGTGGAATTTGTGTCACAAGTGGGACCTCGGCTGAGCCTGCTGTGCCTGGATGTGAAGGAAGTGGAACAAGACACCTTGAGCTATCTGAACAGCAAGAGGATGAGAAGGACGTCTAGCCACTGCTGAGTGGGAGCCACTGCTTAACGTCTCTCCCAGTGGGAGAGGAATTATGGAAATGCCTGCTGGGATTAGGAGTTTCTTTTAATCTCCTTTCTAGTGGGAGCACAGGTCTGTGAGCACAGGGTGAAGGGTGCAGCCAGGAAGCTGCTGTGACTGGAATTCCTGAACAGTCATTCTGGACCATTGCCACCAGCGACGCTGGGTTACGGTTTGGAAGAGAGATGTTGAATGCTTCCTATGTGATAGCCGTTACTTTGGGGCTAAGGCACACAATGTGTGAACTTTATGCAGTAGTATCTACTAAATAAAGCTATTAAAATGACATTTAAATAACACTGTGTCTATCTGTCTTAATATTAAGGGGGCTTTGCTGTAAGAGGAATGAGGTAGAACATAGATCCTTGGTTTATGAGCCAGAGCCAGGCGTTCTGCAGACCAGCTACAGTTGCCACAGGGGAGAGTAGTCTTAACCTAATTGCAATTATTAAACTGGTGGTTTTAAAGCATTTTCTTCCTCAAAAAACAGAGGGGAAGCGAAGAAATTACAGTTTGGAGACTAAATCCTGGTACTAAAGCACAGGATTATACAGCCATTGTTTTGCAGCTTAAACAGTGGCCTGAACATTATGTGGGGCTATTAACAAGAGGAAGGCAGTGAGCTGTGATACAAACTCAGTGTGCTACAAGCTGGCCCATCTCTTCTTGATGAGGAAGGAGATGACTGCCAGTGCCAGTGTCCATGGTGGCATGCAGCATGTGAGATCACTGTTTGAAGAGATTCCTCCCCTATCTACTTGCAGTGATGACCCAAGTGTTCTGGGCTTGCTTTTGGCAAAATAACAGCCACATCTTTCATCTCTGTTCTCCAGGCTGGTAAATTGCACACACAATTACTCCCTGGCCTTATGCATCGTGTAGTGCCAACAGCATCTCTGAACAGCTACTCTGGTTTGGGTTTTGTTTGTTCAGTGCTTCTCCCCTGCCTTTTCTCCCTTCCCTCTTAGTTTGAGCTATATATTAAACTGCAGGCAGTAGGTTTACTGAGCATGTGTAAAGTATCTTCCCTCTCAAGGCTTGCTGGCTGCTTCTAAGACCAAAGCATGAGTGGCACAAGACCTGACAGATGCCACCATTCAACAAAGTTCTGAGATGCCATCCTAAAAGAGGTTGCCAAAACAGAGACTTGTTTAAAAACAGATAAGGCAAATTCGTCTCTGTAATTATATCTGGGTTCAATAACTGTGTTTACTTCTGAATTTGAACTTCCCAGTAGTTATCTTACTGGATAGTCTTCCTCTTTTCCTCCTCATGTATGTTAGTCTTCTGTCTGCTGCCACACTTAACTACTGACCCATTCCTCTTTCATGTCACATTACAAATGCAATCATTAGTCCTCACACAGAATTTCAGACACACTGGTAGCCTTTGCCAGGTTGGAAACCTGACATATTCCAAACCTGTTATCTATTTTCTAACCCATTACTCTCTTGCTATTCACATCTTTTTCAGAAGGGGAGTTCTGAGAAGCTAGATTAACTGGCTCTCTTATTTACAGTTTTATTAGTACATTTAGAGAATCACAAGGCAGGAGGCAGGTGAATCAAATGTGTTTGAGGGGAATTAAGATTTGCTTCCTTTTTACTACTCATGAGTTTGAAGGAGCAGTTCTCAGATGTATTGCAGGAAACTCTTTTCATGTTTGTCTCTGAGATTCTGCCCGTGATCAGAGTTCTGGTCACTGGGTTACTACAGACGAGAACGCATCTTGTTCCTGCAATCAGTGTTTCTCCTTTCTTTATGCAAGTCTCTAGCGCATCCCTCGCTCTCTTTCCTAAGTCAAAGTATTCTGTTGTTGTCATGGGTAAGAAATAACACAAGGGAAAGTGGATGACTTCATGTTTGTGCTACTACATGTTCTGGAAGTGGGAGGAGCTCCTGAAGTTCTCAGCCCAAGAGGGAAGAAAGCATGAAGCGTGTCCTGCCGTCAGGGAAGCTGTTGTAACTCTTCTGTGTGGAAGGACAGAGATGTTCCTTTGGGCTGATTTTCTGTAGCTCTCCATCACCTCTAGAGCCCTCACCCACAGCTGATGTGCTTTGCCTGTCTTCAGTCCTCCTTATTCCAAGACTAGGTGGGATTGCTCAGGCTGGCAACTCCCTCTAGCCCTATTAAAGGTGTTCATAGTAGGTATTACTCCCTGAAGATACTGCACTGTGCAGCAGAGTTGTCTGAGTAAAATGGGTGCAAGCAAAGCTTGTACTGCGGCAGCCTCATGAGAAGAGTGAGAAAAGCCCACAGTGCCTCGCAGCCCTGAACAGTAACCAAGGTCCCAAGGGTGCACAGAGCAGCAGGACAGACGTCTATCAGGTTGAGGAGGGAAGAAAAAGACAATGAGGGAACAAGTAAGAGATGACAGTTGATGGTGTACGAGAGCAAGCTATAAGGTTGCAGACAGTGATGGGAGAAGCCATTAGGGAGCCTGTGGGAGGGACAAGCAATGTGTCCCACCTAAAGCTGGGGATGGGGAAATGGTGGGCACAGGGGAAAGACATGATCTCCCATTCTGGCTTGAGATAGGTCTGCTGCTGTAACCAACCTCAGCAAGAAGGTCTACATATACCAAGCATGTATTATGTTTCCCTTTCCAGGCTTACCTCCACATCCAGCTGTGTTTCTGATTGTTTCATGGAGGCTTTATGTCAACAGCAGATACAAGGGAAGCAGAAGCATCTAGTGACAGCTTGGAAGGGAAGAGGACACTGACTCTGTGTCCAGGTTAACCAGCTGCAAGTTGGTCACCCTTGTAATGTTGAAATCTGTAGCAGAAGAATAGTGAGAGGCTACCAGAATGGGGAACACAGCAGGGAGGGCAAAATGAGGGTATTCAATCCTGCCCATTTTTCTGAGGATTGATGAAGATAGATCCTGCCTCTTTTGCTGGATTAACATTCAAAGGAATACATTCTTTTCAGGTGTGTCCTTCCCTCTCATTCCTGGGCAGTTCTGTCCCCGTGCTGATGGAGCAACTATTACCATGAAGAACATCTGATGTAGCAGGACCAAGCACAGACCTGTTCCTTCATCCCAGGGATTAGCCATGGGTTTCAGTCCCTTCCTTGACTGACACAGGTGCTGCAGGAACCCCCAGCACACACAGGCTCACTGCTTAAACTCTTCTCCCCAGTGCTCACGGTCTCTGCGTGGCGTTCAACCTTACCTGTCACTTTGATGTCGCCTGTAGCCTTGGCAATGCTGTTTTCAATCACGCAGGTGTAGGTGGTGTTAGCAGTGATGTTGTGCAGAAAGGAAACCACTTTCAGAGTGATGCCTCCAGCGTTCAGCTCATAGCTGGTGTTGGACACGTGAGGCAGGTACTCCCCAGCATCGCTGTAGGCTGTCCAGCGCACCGTGGGTTGAGGGAACCAGCGCGGGGCTTCGCATTGCACCGTGTCCCCACTGCTGCTGCTTTCCACGTGGACCCTGGGGGTGCTGAAGGCTTTGGGAGGGAAAAAGGCAAATATCCAGGCACTGGGCATGAAACACTCACCTGCATCTGCTGGTCAGTCCCAGGTGTTTCTGGGCTACTCGCTGCTCAGCACTGCAGCACCGCACATAGCCACACCGAACACAAAGGATTGTACAGGTTGGGCTACAGGGGATAACTGCATGGGATCGACCTGGAGATGCCTAGAACAAGACAGTGCAGTTTGATGAGACCTGCTGAGGTTGTGGCATGGCTTTAGTGGCTTTGAATGATTGTACTTAACTGTTAGAAGCTGGTTCCTGGACTAATAAACCAAGCATTTCCCAAGAGCTCCTGGACTCAAGACCTGGGCAGCCTGAGACTGCCTGTGCCTGCTGAATGGCCCGGCTTCCCCAAGCAGACGCCACAGCTGGCACAACTCCACTCACCTCTGCTGGAGACTACAGGCTGACAGGAGCCTGACCAACACCTGTGGTTTCATGGAATCATAGAACCATTTAGGTTGGAAAAGACCTTTAAGCTCATCAAATCCAACCATTCCCCAGCAGTGCCAAGGCCACCACTCACCCATGTCACTGAGGGCCTCGTCTCCACGGTGTGTGAACGCTTCCAGGGATGGGGATTCCAGCACTGCCCTAGGCAGCTTGTTCCAGTGCCTGAGCACCCTCTGGGAAAGGAATTGTTCCTCATCTCCATCTAAACCTGCCCTGCTGCCGCTTGAGGCTGTTTCCTCTTGTCCTATCCCTTGTTCCTTGGGAGCAGAAACCAGCCCCCTCCTGGCTTCATCCTCCTGTCAGTGGGAACACATTGCTTTGTGCCAGCACTGAACATAGTGACCAGACCCAGCGGATTCAGGAGAATTAAGCATCCACAATTGAAGATTTGTCTGTGCCTGGGCATGTTTTGTGGTTTACTCCTAACAATGCTAACAAATTACTCTTAATGCTAGCAAATATGGAGTATTTCAGATAACTCTGATACATCATGTTTAAATACTTTTTTTTTAAACTGAATACTTTGTAAAACAGAGAAAACATGCATTAAATAGGCTACAGTTGTTGCTGTGCATCACTTCTCCTGGCTGGATATATATCTTGATTCTAGAGAGAAAAAGCTATTGTGTTATCTCTAGCAGGTATAAAATCAGGATCTTTAGAAGCTCAACTAGCTAATCCCATTCTTAGGGTCTCTTTGTAGTCAGTTATGGACCTGACAGAAGGAAAACGACAACTGAGAGCGCTGCAATACTAATAGTTTCTGGAACAAGGGTATCAAAAGAGCAGGTAAAGCCATGACCACTTCTGTAAAAGCCAAAAAAACTACCCTAGTCCTGCTCAGGAGCGCAGGGCCCGATGGTGGCTGCCGGAGGGGTGCCAGCCCCAGCATAACTACACGTGGGTCCAGCCAAGCCACGCCAACACGTGCTTTGCCCCAGGATGGAATCCCTGGCACCCCTCACCTCCTGTCCTGTAGCGCAGCAGCGCTGCCCCGCTCCCGCTGGCCGTGGTGACGGAGCACTGGTAAACGCCGGCATCAGAGAGCCGCACATCCCGCAGCTCCAGGGAGGCATTGCCGCCCATCACCTGCTCCGTGAACAGGGCCGTGCGGCCCCGGAACGGCGCAGCTTGCTCCTGCAGCTGGTCCTGGCCACCTCGGAACTCATGAACCAGCCCGGCTGCTCCCGCCTTGTCCCACCGGATCGCTATGCTGCCCAGCCGGATGTCGGGCTGGAAAGCGCAGCCCAGGACGCCGCGCTCGCCGATGATCCCCGGGGATGGGAGAGCTGTCACACGAATGGAGCGCTGTCCTGCAAGGGGAAAGCAAGGTGGTGTGAGGAAGGTGAGGTGGGAAGGGCAGAGAAAGGCCAGACCACCCTGAGGCTGTCGTGCGCCAGCCCCGGGGCTGGACAGACAAGGACTCCACCAGCAGCTACCAGTGCTGCTAGCAGAGGTCACCTCCTATGGCTTCTATACCAAAATGAAGCACAGGAACATTCCTTTAGCAAGCACTATGCTTCAAAAAGTAGCTCCTCTTTTTTGAGAAGATTTTGCATGCTGTTTCCTTGCTTGTTTGCATATATCAGGGATTTTTCTCTTTGCAGCTTCCAAAAGAGTGAGATTTTTGTGTCTTTTCTCAGTCAGGACCTCCCTCTCTGCAGTATAAATGTGACTGCAGGGCGTAATGCTGGCAGAGAAACAAGAGGCTGCTCTTTCATTCTTACTGGAATCCAAACCAGTTTCTCTCATTTAAGAAAAGTCAGCATTTCCCTTCCCTGGGGACACTTCCCAAGTCAAATCCTAACCAGCAAGCTGCAGAATAAACTCTTTCCCAGAGCTGACTCCCTTTTCCCGTGCAACCCTTCCCTACACGTACTTGCTCAGCACACCCCAAGGAGGCTGCTAACGCCAAAGCAACACATTGCTGGGGGAGCAGGGGAGTGTTCCCATCCTGGCAGATGCTGCCCAACTTCCCAAGAAATACCACTGTCTCCTATCTGGGAGAAGGAGCACAGGATGTGCAGGACTCTCTGTATGTGTAAGCTTAGGGCTCCAAGCCCAGTGACATTTCAGCTAGCGCAGCATCATGGAGTGGTTTGGGTTGGAAGGGACCTTAAAGCTCATCCAGTTCCAACCCCCTGCCACAGGCAGGGACACCTTCCTCTAGACCAGGTTGCTCCAAGCCCCATCCAACCTGGCCTTGGACACTGCCAGGGATGGGGCAGCCACAGTTTCGCTGGGCACCCTGTGCCAGTGTCTATAAATCTCTGCACTATTTACAACCCACAAGAGCTCACAGTTTGCAGGGCGAGCACAGCTCCTGCTGGTTTGATGCGATGGAGCCATACCTTGTTGAGAAAGACCACAATGGAAGTGCACTCTTAACTCAGCCATCTGGTGTGCAAGCTTCATAAAGCAAGCCAAGGGTTGTAGGTGGCACTTTCACACAAGATCACACCTCAGCCCATGCACAGGATGGAGGGATGGAGGCAGAGGCAGGGCAGACGTTCATTATTCCACAGGTAACAGCAAGAAACCCGAGCAGTCACATACCTGAGACACCAAACCCGATGATCAGGACAGTCACTACAGCCAGAATGACAATGACTGTAATCAAGCTACATGGGGGAAAAAGAAAGGACAACATTACTATGCAGCCAACATCCTTCACAACTTACACCACTGGTGCAGGAAAGAGGTGGAAATGGGTAAGCCACAGCCATTGAGCGAGGTGGACTGACAAAGCCCACGACCACAGTAGTGGCGAACATTCAGGGGAGCACTCACCATCAAAGGTGGGACCATGCTGTAGGAGGTGACCCATGCTTTGCCTTTGAGAGGAGGTAGCTGGCCCCAATGCAGGATGCTCATTTCTGCATCCCTGGGGCATAAGCAAGTCCCTGGTGGTACTTGAGAGGGACCATTTGTGCAGGGAGGTGAGCAGAGCACTGAGACAGGCTTCTGACCCCGGGAGACACCCAGTGTGAGCCAGGGAGTGGGCAGGAGGAGGCTGGAAACAGGGCCAGCAGCACGCTCTTTCCCAACACATCTGGCAGCCTCCGCATGAGAGCGCATCCGTGCCTGTGCAACCACAAACTCCTCCCATGGTTACTGTGTGCCTGCATCAGGCACTTGCACAATGTCTGAGGAGTCACTGCAAATGTCACAATCACAGGGCTGAAATGGAGCCATGTGAGCAAACCTCTCCTGCAGGGAGCAGCAGGGAAGGGAGAAAGGGAAGATAGGTTGAAAGAGGGGATGGAGAGGAGCGGAGGTGGTGCAGAAGGCTTGCTTGCCCTCCTGCCAGCTCCCTTCCATCCTCATCCTTAAAGCCCGCAGTGGGTTCTCAGAGGAATCCCTGTCTGCACACACCAGCGTGCTCAGGAGGAGGGATCAAGTGCTCCCTGCATAGATGCCCTCAGAGCCCCTGATCTCACCAGCCTTTGCTTGCCACCAGGGTGGACAGCAGTGCTCTGCCTCCCAGTCACAGCCCACCGTACCAGGGAGGAAAGGCCTGGATAACCTCCAGCCGCAGGCACTGGGCATCTGTGACCCATCCCCATGGACACCCATGTGCTTTCCTGTTCTGGGGCGGACACAAAGCCTCCTCCGTGCGCTGAATCACATCCGCCTCCTTGAGGAGCTCTATGGCACCGATCCCAGGGCAAGAGAGTTGCTATAAACTCAGCCAAGGTTGCCATGAACAGCCCCAGCTCTCACGCCTGGGAAGCATGGAGCTAACACACAGAAGCTGTGACTTGCCTTCACCCCTCTAGATTCAGATCCTCCTTCCCAGGACTGGGCAGGAGGAAATAGCTGGGAGCTGAGGGATGCAGGCATTGCATCAGTGAATACCAGAGAGGGTATGGCAGGAGACCAGGAGCCAGGATGCTTCCTGTGCAGTCCCTGGGTGCTTCAGTGCCACCACACTTGTCTCTGGTGCTCCAAAGGACCCTCTGGCCTGACCACCACCTCTGCTGAGCAAAACCATCTTCAGCTTGCTCACAGACAAACACAGACCAGCACAAACGGGCTAGCACCAACGCTTTTGTCCCCCATGGCTATAGGCACCATGTGCCCCTGTAGCTGCAAAGCCGTGCTAGCTCTGCATCTGGAGAGCTGCTTCCACATCCTGGCTCAGGACAGCAACAGGGCTGATGTCCATTCTGGGTGCACAGGTGTCACCATCCCCTTCAGCACCCCTCGCCAGGGATGAGGGGAAATCAGACCCTTTGGAGTGTCCTCTGCAGACACTGCAAGAGCCAAGAACCAAAGGGGTCTGAATTTGCCTGTGAGCCACCCATAGGTACTGAGTGGAGCACAGGGTGAACAAGAGGGTGCTGGCAACCCAGCCGCATGCTGACAGGAGCTGTTTTGCAATGGGCTGGTCCAGCAGTTCAAGTAAACAGCAATTTCCCATGCATCAGCATCATACTTCCAGTGTTTCAGAGGCATGGAACAGATGGATGCAGACGGCTGGGGCTGCACGAGCTGGAGCCCTGCTGCTACCCTCAGTTCCCAGCACCGCTTCGGCAGCCTGTGGGATGCTGCTCCATGCATCCTATCTTCTTTTCCATGGTCCCATTCCTCATCAGCCAAACAGAATTGGGCATGAAATTCATTCATTCCCCACCTGAATGCTGCCAAGCACAGCCCAGGGACAGAGAGGCTCGTCACCCTGCTGTGACAGGCGGCAGAAGCATAATCCCCCTCATCTCTAGCTCCACTCAGAGTAAGCTTTGCCTCAGGAATGGGTTTGGAGGTGTGAAGACCAAAAAACCTGTAAGGAAGAGATTAAAGGTCCCCTACCTTCCTCCTTTTATCAAAGCTTACCATGGAAAAGAAATAACATGGCAGAGGCAACCCAAGAAGAAGGATTTCCATTCCAGTGAGCAGTTAATGATGGCAGAGCTCAGCTGTTCTCAGCACTCCAGCTTTATCTTGTTTAGTGTTTGGGGGGGGGGTATTTAGGTTGGGTTGGTCTGGTTTGGTCTGCAGGACCCCACTGCTTCCCGTGACCAGCTGCTGTCTGGCTGTGTGCAGCCACTCACAGTGGACAGAGGTGCTGACAGAGCCAGGGGCTGGTTCTCGGTGCATATCCCTGGCAAAAGCAGCTGGGCTGCCTCTTGGGAACAGCAGAGCTGGTTATTGCATGCATCCCAGCTGCATGAGGAATACGATGCCCAGTGAATATTCACACCGTGTTACATTATGCCTACTGGTGATCTCACTCTCCTCAGTGAAAGGGTGCAGATAATATCACTATTTAGTTCTATTTAGATCTTCCTTGATGCTCTGTGTGAGAAAGCTGGAGCACAGCTCACGCATGAGAGGTCTCTTCTGTTCACGTGCGCTGTCCTTCTCCCCACTGCTGTTGAGCTCAGATGAGATGGATGCTCATCACAGCTGAAACCTTCCTGACAGAATGAGGACAAGCAGGGGTGTTCCACACACCTTGCTGGAGCTTCTGCCTCCATCCATCCCAGAAACAGCCCTGCTTGGGATGAAGGAAACAGCTTGTTGGTGTGTCTGTTCAAGCAGTCAAGGTTAGATGCAAACTTGATCTGTTCATTGGAGGCTGAAGCAAGTTTGCCACTTTACCCATCTGGTGGGGGTTATTTTCAATGAGTCAGGAGATAAGGATATGAGGCAGATATTTTTATGGCCTTCCCCCGATATTTCTTTTTCTGACTGTAGTTCACCAGGGCTTGGTCAATAGATCCAAAGGAAGCAGGCTCATTCAAATGAGAGGCACAAACCAGCTTGCACATCTTCCCAGCTCTTACTCCTGACCCACACATTGATATCCCAACCTACAACAGCAGGAACACAGAGCTTTTCTCAAGCCACTAATACCCTGACCTACCACAGCATTCAAACCCAAGGTAGTGGAATATAGCCACGCAATTTCCAGGACACACATCTCCATCCTGGCTGCAGTTGACGGCCTGCACACGGGGTTCTGATAGCTATATGGCCTTACTGACTGTATAAAAGAAGCCATAATGGTGTTCAGGTATCTTGGGTGAGCACAGTATGAGTCAAGCTGCAAAGAACTGCAGTCTTGAAAGCTCCTGATAGCAGAGTGAGACAGACAAGGAGTCTGGAAAATGCAATTCCCTCCCTCCTCTCTCCCAAAGCAGACACAGGTAATACCATACCTCCAGAAAACAACCTGGCCTTGGGATGCCATGGCCACCTCACCTATGAAGACAAGCCACACACCAGGTGCCCAAAGGTCCCACGCTGTTCAGCACGGCTCCTCTCCTTCACATGACACAGTCTCCCAGGCTGTCCTGCTTAAATAACTGAACTCAGCTAAGGAGCGGTGAGCCCAAGCAGTGAACTCTCAGGAATGAGGAAGCAATGGGCATCTCAGCTGCCCCCCGACCAGAGCAGTCAAAAGCAGAGGTTTGGTTAGTCACTGGGGCAACAAGAGAGACCTCCCACACCTAAAGAAACGTGTCTGATTTAACACGGAAATGACACACCTCATGGTTTGGTGGGCAGCTAATTCTAGGGGCAGAGTGCCACTGCTGGGATCCGGCTTGACACGGCATTCCAAACGGTGCACCCCTTGTGAATCACCTGCCATGGGAAGGCCAAGAAGCCCTGCTGAGCCAGCTTCTGCACTGCTGCGATCTTCTGGGGACAAGCAGGCACTCACTCACAGAGCTACAAGCGCAGTGCGTCACCAGCGTGTTTTGCCTCCTTTGAGAAGGGAGAGATACCCTAGAATGACACCCAGCTCCAGAGGCACCTGACATGGAGTTTTCCAGGCTGCAGGGCCCCTTCCAGGTCTTCCACAGTCTCTTGTTCTTGCTGTGTTTTTCCTTACTCTAGGGAGTAAGTCCTTCTTTTCTGCCTCCCAGAGCCCCTCCTCATGTTCATCCCCATTTTATTTTTATTTCCCAAGCTTTGGAGACAGGCAGATTTATCAGAGGGAGCTTTTCTCCTGCGAAAAACATCAATAGTTACCAATAGTTATCAATAGTTAATGGAAATAGTTGATAGAAAAACATCAATAGGTGCAGTTCTGTCAGCACTGCCTGTCTGTCTTGAAAACACGTTAGTTATCTCAAGGAGCAGCTGGTCAGAAACAACACCACATAGCTCAGCAGACTAACAGCACTTCCATACCCACTGCCTGCCCAAGGCTGCTATCAACCAAGCACTGGAAGTGAGAATCCAGCACATTAGTAGGATATATTCATTTGGCAAACCATTCTGAGCAATGAACACTGAGGGCAAAGTCTGCTTGCAAATTATGGGAAGACACTCGCACCTAACCCCACAAAGTGTCTAGGTCACATCTGCATGCGGTTCTGCAAGCTGTCCTTGTGTGCAGCACAAACACAGCGGTAGCCAGTCAGTCCCATATACCCCTGGGACTGCCTGAGCCTTCAAGTCTAACAAAAATCAATCCAAGAGACTGGCCCTGGCAGGATTAGTAGCCCATGCTGTCTGAAACTGCTCTTCTCATGTCAAACACAGGGCTCAGCACAAGCTCACTGCGGCTCCCTGAAGGGTTTCTATGTTTGCTGGTGTATTTCTCACAAAGAGCTCCTTGGTCAATGTCAGCACCAAGGTGTGTAAGGGATGCCTCACACAGATGGAAAACACATTCCCCTGTCTGAGCTAAGATGTTTTTAGACAGAAAGAATGCACTAGAAGGTAGTGCTATTCTTACATGTTCCCTCTGCAATACAGCATGGGAGCTCCAAGAAAGAACACAGCACATGTGGGGGGCAAGAAACAGATGCAGAAAATGAGGCATTTCAAGTTACATCCCATTCTGTACTGAG